CCCCCAGCAACCAAGCAGTGACCATGGCCAATCATGCTGACCTGGGAGTGGGGTCCCCCTGTGGCCAGTCACACACGATGACCCGGAAGCAGCATTCCCTCTAAGCTGGCTCTAAGAGGGACCTGCTGCTCAGAAGTGCCAGCAGCACTTCTGGTGTCCCCACTCCTTGGCTAGCGCTCTCCGGGGGGAGGAGAGACAGGGACCAGCACTCCTGCCTGCCCTGCCTGCCCATTGCCTAAGTGGGGAACACTGCTGTAAGGGGGTGCACCAGTGCTCTCAAGGGGTGCACATGCACCCCCTATAGCACTGCTGGTTCTGTCCATGAAACTAATTTATATAAATGATACATTTCATTTATTCATTTAGTTTTCTAACACATGACACTTCCCCCCCCCCAAAATGCTGCAGTATACCCTTCATTTCTGAGGGCATGTGGCTGCGCCTAGGAAACACAGGGTCTCTTCCAACCCTCATTTCCTGATGCAAGGGAAGGACCTGGAGGTTGGTTCTAACCCCCCGGCTCTGCCCAGGGCTGGTCCCGCTGAAAGGGAACAGAGGAGCCAGGCTGGGAACGGACGTAGAAGGAAGGACGTGCACGCACCTTCTTCCCCAGCGGAGCCGCAGCCTCCGCCCTTTGTTCCAGCTCAGGCCGCGGAGAAGGGGGGGGGAAGAGACCTCGTGCCAGTGCCAGTGCCAGTGCCAGTGCCAGTGCTTGTGCAACGCAGTACAGAACCACAAAACCCCTCCCCCGCCAGCGACACCGGTCACCGCACTTTTACAGGCTGAGCCTCGCGCGCTCGCTCCGCCCCCCACATCACAGCGCACGCGCAAGGCCAGTTACAGCAAAAAGGGAAGGAGGTGCCCGGGACGGCGGGACAGTTTCTTAAGCCGAGCCGTTCCGCTCCCGGGACACGGGACCCCCCGCGCCCCCCACTCACCTTCCCGCCGGGAGGCGCTTTCTCGCGGCCTCTAAAATGGCGGCGGGCCGGGCCCTCTCCCAATCGCCGCCTCGGCGCTCCGCAGCTTCTGCCCAGGCGTTGGGGCCGAGCGCCGAGTCATCGATACCCCCCACCCCAGTCCGCCGCCTCCTCCTCCCGCCAGGCCCAACCCACTGCAGAAGCAGAGCCCGGGAGGGACACGTTCCATCCCTTCCCCCCCGCCACCCCCCCTCTAGTGGTTGCGTCCGTGACATCATCATCATGGCAACAACAGCTGCAGTGTGGAGCCGCGGAGCCGCTGCCGCCGCCGCG